ATTGCAATAAAACGGCAATTTCATACTTTAACCCCTAATATTAAATATGTAATTTTGGAATTTTCATCCCTTACAGCAAAGCTCAAGTTAAACTGGTCAATTTGAAGTGAAACAATTGACGACACCCGTTAATTGTTTCGAATTCGGGCTGACCAGTCGGAGCGCAGTTGTCACAGTAATAATATGACAGAATAGTTTTCAAACAAATTAAATGACATTTCGTCTCTTTTTTTGGTTATATACTCGATGCTGGTTTATGACTTAAAAATCTAACAAACATTTTGTAAAACCAAATTAAGTGCCACCGAGTGTGAAGTATATTTTTCTTTATACATATGTATAATTTACGTGCAAGACGAAACAGCAAGTGTAGGTAGGTAACACACCTGAGTACGGGTACTGCTGGTTTGAGCTGAGAAGTTAAGGACTACTGGGATGTATAAGCCGGTTTTAGACATTTTGTTGAGTATTTCAGCTGCGATTACAGTCTTGCCGACACCTAGAAACATCATTATTTTGTTACTAAGTTACGTTACCTGTTTACCATTTCTGCCTTTAACTTCCTCCGTGGCCGAACGGTTACCATGCCGGACTGCCACGCAGAGGTCCCAGGTTCGATTCCCGGGCCGGGAGAAATGTTTGTACAGCTTACATTTATTTCTCTCGTGAGTTTGGGTGTAATTTGTGGTTGTCTATATGTGTGTCCATGGCACCCGCGACACAGGGTTTCCCTAGTGCGGGGCTATGTTGAGTGTGTGCGTTATTTATTTCCATTTGGCCGTGGAAAAAGAAAGAAAATGGTAGTGCACGTACCCGTGTTTCCAGTAAACATGACAGGTTTGTTGACGCCGAGAAGTTTCTCGAACATATATCCATAACGCACCGTGTCGATAGTAGGCACAAGGGTTTCAAAGAAGGGTTTGTTACAGTCGTATACGAATTCAGGAATTATCTCCGCCCATGTTTTCAATTTGCGACTTTTCGTGTCCATGTACATGTCAAAAAAGTTAAAGCCAGTCGGGTAGCTGAAAGCAGTTGTGCTCCTTGTGAAAGAGTTCGTCCAGGAAAGTACTGCCACATTACCTATTTCTGCCGCTCAGCAGTGTGAGCATCACTGCATTTCGTTTTTGAACGGTAAGAGTGGTAGCGAAAGTACAGGCACATGAGACTTATAACTCACGGTGACGGGTGCAATGGCAGTGCCTCTCACATCTTTGCGATCATGGATCATACTTGTTCATTCCGAATATGGTATAATAAAAAAAAAACAATGGGCAATCGGACAATATCGTTATTTATTGACTTAAAATTACAAGTCCTTAGTATTTCACAAAAATATTGATTGAATGACTGTTTTATTACGGAAACATTGTTACAGTTAGAAATAAATCAAAACAGTCAATCAATCAATATTTTTGTGAAAATTATTTCACAAAAATATTGATTGATTGACTGTTTTGATTTTTAAATGACTTGTAATTTTAAATCAATCTGAAAATTTATATATTTTTAATCTGTTTGCGAACATCAAAAACACCAAGCGATGTCATAGGTAGGGAACCAAAGAACGTTAACTTACTCACTATTCGCATGTTGCCTTGTTTTTTCTTAGTTTAATCACTTTTTAAGTAAAAGCAAAAAAAATTTGGATTGAGGACAGTAGTCAATGAATACGTAAAATTCTCCCAAGTGGCAACTTTTTGTTTTAATTACATTTTAACGATTTATTTAAATATTTTTATTTATAAAATTTTAATCCATTATGGTATAATTTTAAATACTTTCTGAAAAGTTTTACCGTAATGAGTTGAAGAGTTTTATATACCTACTTTTAAACTTTCGCGTTACATTGTGTATTAACATTTGGAAACGGGAATAAACGCAGTTTATTTAACGCTATTCCCGTTTCCCGAAAAGCTTTATTTAAATAATAAATAAGAACAGTATTTTTTATATTATTTTTATCCATTATGATTACTGTTAAATACTTTTAGCAGAAGTAGAGCTCGTCATAAAAGAGTTTGTCCAGGGAAGTGTTGCCACCTTACCTATTTCTGTCGCCAATTAGTAATGTCAGTATTACTGTGTTCCGGTTTTGACGAGTAAGGGTGCTGGTGAAATTACATGCACATAGGACTTGTCAACTTATGTCTCAGGGTTTTTTTTTTTTTTTTTTTTTTTTTTTATGACATTAAGTAACGGGACGAACAAGTCGTGTGCCTGATGGTAAGCTACACGCCTGCCCATAACAGTTGCAGTGCCACCAAGAGCTTTAAATTACAAAGATCTTGGGGGCACTGCCACTGCGCCCGTCACCCTGAGACATAAGTTGACAAGTCTCATGTGCCTGTAATTTCACCAGCACCCTTACCCTTCACAACCGGAACACAGTAATGTGACCATTACTGCTTGGCGGCAGAAATAGGTAAGGTGGCAGTACTTCCCTGGACGAGCTCTTTCACAAGGAGCTCTACTGCTACTCATCGGACAGTTGCAGCGCCCCTAACATTTTTGCGATTTAAATCTCTGAGTGGTACTGCAACTGTTATGGTTAGGCGTGTAGCATACCATCAGGCGCAAGACTTGTTCGTCCCGTCATTTATTATAAAAAATAAACTTTTTGAAAAGTCGTCCGATGCCCTTTTCAACAAACAAAAAATGATACATATATAACGTAATCACGTGTCATGTTTATGTCTAACCTCAGATGTGATCAAACTTGGGTAAACTTACTATTCAGCTTCCTCGTACTCTTCGAACTGTCTCTTAATGACCTCTTCGTAAGGCTTACGATTTTGTTCAAATATATTGCCGCCGATGCACCATACGTAACAGAATATAAAGCAATGCGCGATGTAGGTCTTAATAGCTTGCTTGTCTGGAAACTTGTCACCTGGCTCTTGAAGTAGGGCTTGAAGAAGATGGCACAGTGCATTGACTTTGCTTATGTCCACCTATATTTAAAAAAAATATAATAAAGTTTATGTGAATGTATTATTTTACGTCAAAAACAAATAATTGTGAAATTGCTTACAAATATTTATGAACTTTCGCCTAAAATGGAAATTTCGTACAAATTTTCATCAGGCAACAAGATTAACCTCGTTTACACGGATCCTCCTTATGAGTAAAAAGAATAGGTAAGAATAGGCCAAAAGCTACTGGATTGCGAGAACGAGTATGGAAAACAGAACAAGTGCTTGTAGCTAACATGGTCCAGAATCGAAATAATCTTTGCTTTCTCCATAATATATCAACCTGTTTAATTCCAACTTGACACTTGGTATTGACGTGCTGCACACCCACGGCAGCCATCTTGAAGAGTTCGTAAAGAAATTCTGAATTCTCTTGGTTGAACAGGTTTTTCTCCATGCACTCGTCGAGCCAGGTGCGCACGTAGGGAAGGTAGCCCAGTTCATCAGGGTCGATGTATACCATGCCACAACGCGACACAGTTGCTGGTGACGCTTGAGCCAAATCCGCCACCTTTCGTTAAAATAACAGAGGTACCAGTCACAACCAATAACAAAAAACAGTTTGATTAACCCCAGTTACATAGTCTTTGGTGCTCATGAAATAAAGAACATAATATATTTCGACTTTTTGGCCTTCTACGTAAAGTATCATATGTCGAAATTGCCAAGTTTACAGAGGAGCGTTTTAAAGTTCTCCGTTTTATATGGCAAAGCTCGTTACTCACATAGAGTGATCATCTAACAAAATCATCTATGTTGATATGAATAGATGAATAGATCATCATAGATCATCTAACCGATATCTAGGATTTTATAATACTCTTATGTGGTTAACGAGCTTTGCCGAATAAAACTGATAAAGGCTAAACTCACGTGTTATGCTTATTTCAGTGAACGCAGAACTTTAAAAGGTTCCCCTATAAACTTGACAATTTCGACATACGATACTTTTACTTAAAGTAAAGCATTCCACAAAATATTACTAAGGAAATTCCTTAAAGGGATTATAGAAAGTAGTACCTCAAACACCATATGCACGTAGGGTGTGAGCTTGATCCTCTCGGAGTTGGAGAGGCAGAGCATCTTGTTGTCGTCCAGAACAGTATTCATGTTTTCGATCCAAACAGCATCCACCGGGCCGTCGCAGATCAACCACTGGTGGTCTGCTTTCTCACACTGTATGGAATATTGTTATACGTCATATAATCACTTGGACCATTTTATTTCGTTCGTAATAAAAATCAAACAATCTAATAGACTGTTATAATTATTAATTCAAAGATCGAATACTTAGAAAAAATTCCTTCGGTCCGGCCGGATTTCAACCGACGTCGTCTAGCTAACCGTGCCAGAAGACGTCGTTAGAACGTCGACGTTTGCTAGAAGACGTCGGTTCGGATCAAATTGAAGAAATTTTTTCTAGTAATTGTACAAAAAAAATTGGATATCAATTCAATAAAAATTTAAATCTAATAGACTGCTTTACAATTAGAATTTAGGCAGTTTGTTTTATAAAAAAACATGAAAATAGATCGAAATGTATTTTATAAATGGATTTTAACATAATTTAAAGATTTTAAAGTAATATTGTACAAAAAAAAATTGAATGCGAGTTGCACCACTTTTGCGCTGATAGCGTCAATTATAATTACTATACGTAATATGTGCATAATATTTCTTTTTTTTTTATTGAAGGATTTATTATGTGACTTATAATAGCATAATATGTTTTTTATTGACCTATTATGTCCCACTGCTGGGCAAAGGTCTCCTCCAAAACCCTCCATTGCTCCCTGTTTTTGGTGAGCTCCCACCACTCTCACACCAATCAAGATCGTCCCGCCAACGCCTTCACGGCCATCCCCCCGGGGAACCCAAGGAGTGACGACGTTCGCCCACTTCACAGGTTGCATCCGGCTAACGTGGCCCGCCCAATCCCATTTGAGCCTGGCTGTTTTGCTCCCCACATCCGCAATGCCGGTCATCGAACGCAGCATTGTATCGCGTACTCGGTCAATATGCTTAAAGCCCAGAATGCTGCGTTCTATCCAATAAATAATTAACCACATTGAAATAAAAACTATTATACTCTCCGTCACATATTGAGAGGGAACGTCTCTGTTGGGTGCTTTGACTACAATGACATGTATGACGTCACACTTAAAACCTAAATTGCCGGTCACAGTTGGTGCCACATAGTACACAGGCTAAAAAACTACAATTTCAAAACTGTTTATTTCAGAATGTCGATAAAATATCGTATTAACTCCTTGCATTATTTAGGTGTCGCCTCTCTTTCACTATCACAGCGGCAGATGTTTGCACATCACTTATCATACGAGTGTGCAAACACGGCTGTCACAGATAAACAGGCACTTGGGATGGGGTGCGTTTTGAAATTTGCAAGAGCCTTACCTGGACAGCTGTCCGCAAGCAAAGTGGCAATATTCCGTCATGCCACTCGAGAGTCTGTAAGTTCACTTCTCCATACAGCTCGCCGATAGTAAGGCTCTTCGGGTTCATTGTGTACATGTGTACAGGTTGATTCGTCGGTCCTGGTACTTCCAGCTCGTAGAGACGGGCGTATGTACCGCCTAATACCTGAATTATGATTGAAATAATACATCACTTTCATTTTAACTGCCTCCGTGGCGAACGGTTACCATTCTGGTCTGCCACGCCGAGGTCCAGGGTTCGATTCCCGGGCCGGGAGAAATGGTTGTATGACCTAAGTTTGTTTATCTCGTGAGTTTGCATGTAATTTGTTGTTATCTGTGTGTGTGTGCCCATGGCACCCGATAGGATTTCCCTAGTATTGGGCTATAAGTGTGTGCGTTAAAAAAAAACTATTTTGTAAAGACCAAAAAAAACTTCAATTTGTTATACTACTCACATGTAAAACAACAGTCTTCCCGCCGCCGGTGGGCCCCACGAGCATGACACCCCATCGCACAATCATGGTTTCATGGAGTTGAATCACTTTGCGAATCTGACAACTTTCTATTTGGAGTTTCTTTTCTAGTAGTATAAATTCTGAAACAAAATATAATGTAAAAATAACGTGCCAGATAACCACACCAATTGCCCGATCTTTGTTCCCACCAGGGGGTATAGCTGGTAATGACTAGTGGAACAGGGCTCTCAATTTAAGGAATACCTGTACTATGAGTACCAGACGAATTCACTATGGGGCACTTCCCAGAACACTCAGGCCTGATCCAATTCCGAAAAGTTCATTTCCCAACTTTGTCCTATCGGGAATCGAATCCTGGACCTCCTCGTCCAGTGCCCACAATACAAATCGTCAGGCGTTAGATGGTCCATGGAATAATAAATAATAAAATAATGATAAAAATAATAACGAGACAGTCTTAAAATAAGACTGTGCCTGTCTTAAGATTTTTTTTATGATACCAAGTAAAGGGACGAACAAGTCGTGCATCTGGTGGTAAGCGCGGTTAGTAAGACGTTGGTTCGAATCCAGCCGGATGAAAGGATTTTTCTAAGTGTTCGGTCTTTGTGTTGATAATGATAGAAATAATAATTAGGAAAATAGTTACAATTTGATTTAACAGAGAATGTCAATGATTGCGGCTGTGCAGTAATTCAAAAGTTACAATGTGGTGAAACCTCTTCACATCTGCCTGTTTGTATTTAAGGCATCACAATTACTGTCAATTTTATTAAATATCACCGCCACTTGTTACCCCTACATAACCAAGTAACATTACCAGCAGTAGGAGAGGAAAAATTTCTGTTACGTACCAGATAACTTAAGCTCACATTTTGCACCAAGTTGCTAGCTGATTAATAGTTCAAAAACACTACATTTGTGTTTAAAATATATCCTTGAATATAAAGGGTGTCCAAAGGAAAGTAAACCCGAAGTGGACATATAACTTTGATGGAAATTTTGAAAACCCAACTTACTAATAGAGTCTTCCATAACTTTGTAATCTCTGACCGGGAGATCAACGCCTGGAAAGAGATCAGAAAGGATACCGCCGAAGAGGATGGCGTCAGCAGCGAGGAACTTCGGCAAATTGCTGTCGTTAAGTGCACAGAGCAGCGTCTTTTCCTCGTGCTGATCGGGGCTCGCACGCTTTAGCGCTCCTGCCATGACCTGGGAACCGCGCAAGTTTATGCGTGAAAATTGCAATGCACAACGTGCACTACAAACGAAATTACATCATCATCAGCCTATCACGGTCCACTGCTGGACATAGGCCTTTCCTAATGCGTCCTCAGCTCGTTGCACCCAACTGCTGCCAGCAGCCTTTTGCAAATCGCCACTCCATCTGGCCAGAGGGCTACTAATGTGCTGTGCACGAGAGCAATGATGGGCAGAGATGGGCAGTGGGTGAAAATCAACCCGTAAAGTTTTAACCGGGTTCTACCCAAAGCGCCGGATTTTAACCCATTTCTGCCTAAAATAGTGAGTGGAAACCCATTACATGCGTATAATAATACGGAAAATAGGTGAAATTCCATACTTATTAGCAATTCCGATATAAAAAGAAACATTTTTAGACAAAAAAGAAGCAACCCCACACAATACACGCTTTGTAATCCTATAGATTCTCAATACGACCTAATATTTTTTTGCAACAATATGTTTCAGTGCGATTTTCAAGCAAATCGATTCAATAGAAAGGCAAACTAATTGAGCAAAAGCAAGCATTTTGTAATAATATCGTTATATTTTAATATTGATCAAAACTCGATTTTCAAATATTTAGTTGCAAATAGTTTTTGCCTTCGATTTCGGGTATTAATAGGATTTAACCCGATTTAAACCCGGACGCTTGCCCATCTCTTATTACAAGCTAATGCAGTAGGAACTAGTGCTATGGATGCTAGTTTCAAATATCAAGTGATTTTTTTCTGGTCATTATTTTTTCTTAAACATAAAATAGACACTAGTCTACTAGTTGACCTAGGTCAAGTATTAAAAGCTTCATTTTATAATAATTTACAAAGTAATTTTTTTAAGAGTGACGAGACAAACAAGTCGTGCGCCAGGTGGTAAGCGACACGCCTATACAATTACAGTGCCCCAAAAAGCTTTCAAACATCTGAGTGGCACATACACAGTGGCAAGATTCATGTGCATATAGTTTCACCAGCACCCTTACCATTCAAAACCGGAACCTAATAAAGATCACATTACTGCTTGGCGGTAGAAATAGGTAAGGTGGCAGTAGTTCCCTGGACGAGCTCTTAGAAGGTGCTCTAGTGCTACTAAAATGTTGTGTTAAAAATAAAATACTCAGTCACGTTCTACCCTCTCATATACTTCGTGTTTTTTTAACATTAGAAATAAAGTAAACAAAGAAGTAAGGTTTGTAAACTTTTTTCTTCAGAATAATAAGAATGATTGTCATTTTTCTAGTTCTACTACTACATAAGCATTAAAGAAAGAATTGTGAATAGCCTGCAGTCACTATTTGTTGGTTTTTTATTATAGATTCTCCATTTTCTGATATCTCTTCTCTCGCTTAAGCCTCAATATTTACAATTAATTAAATATATTTCAATTTTTTTTTTAATTTGTATTAAGTCTATATTTTGAGTTTTTGAGCAAAATAGTCCTCATATACAAGAAGCTCTACTACTACTACTTAGTAAAGTATTTGGCCTTTTACCAGCACGCTTTTGACGGCTCGCATGCCAAAATCGTAGTGGTCTTGCTTTGAAAGCTGTTCGCTGGACAACTTGTACATCTGCACCATTTTCTTGGCTAGCTTTCTCGAGGACTCGAACCCCTCCGAGTATAGAATCACCTCCGCAATGAGCGCTTTTCATGAAATTGTAAAATATATATATATATATCTATATTTTAGGAATTTATATACATTGGTTGAAACAGAGTGCTATAAAACAATAAGCCCGCCTGTTGTCTTTTGTTTGTTTTTGTATTTTTCTTATGTGAAAAAACTATTTATATTGTATTGTTACAGGCTAAACTGGCTCTTAAGAAAGTTAAAAGGAATATCCTTATAGTGATAGCCTAAAGGTGGTTTTCCACCAGCGAGGCAAGACGAGACGAGACGAGAATTGAAATTTCGCCGGCCTATTTCCACCAAAAATCGCCATTAATAGCTCCCGTGAGCTCTCGCTGTGATTGTGAATAATAAAGATTCGGTGCTGTTTAGTCCATCTAGCAATAAATACGCGGCTAAAGTAACATGTCCCGTAAATTATTAATATTAAATATGTTAACGGAAGAAGAATCAGATGAAACTATCTTTTTTAAAATCTCAAATCGTATATACCCCACAATCTCGCGATTGATCTCGCGAGCACTTGTGAGATCGCGCGAGCTCGTGCGAAGATCGCGTTTCAGTTGCAGAGTACATTACGCTGTGTAGGCAGCATTACGGTTCAATATTACATCCACAAATATTTCAATTCTCGTCTCGCCCATGCTCGTCAATCCAGTCAAAATTTTGTCATACAAATTTTAAACCTCGTCTCGCCTCGTCGTTGGAAAACCATCTTAATGGTTTGACCTACCCCCTCTCAAGCAAAGGGCGTGGGTTCGAAGCCGGGCTTGCACCTCGTGAGTTTTTTGGAATTTATGTGCGAAATTTAATTTGGAATTTACCATGATCTTGCCGGCGAAGGAAAACTGCACACATCTGCAAAGCAATATAATGTGATGTGTGTGGAGTTCCCAATCCACATTAGGCCTGCGTGTGAACTACAACCCAAACCTTCTTCACTGTGAGAGGAGGCCAGTGCTAGGCAGTGGAACCATTATATAGGCTAATAATTATTATAGTCGATTGCTGACCTTGCTTAATACTAAAAATATGTTAACACTACAAATAGGGAAGTAATACCATAATCAGGCACCATCATAGAAATAGGCCTGAAGAGCGCCTTTAAATTGTCAGGCAGCTCTGTTCGGCCCGCGTAACCTGGATTCATTGTGATGAATGCTGCACAGGTTCTTACTAGTTTTATTTCTCGTCCTTCGAACATAAACCTGAAAATCATAATTAATAAGCTTTGTTTGGAGTATAAATATTAGACAACATCACATATAGGTATGTTGCTCTCAATCAAATTCGAAAAAACGGAAATCGGAAACAACGACGTTACCACAAACACCTAGACCCGATACAATATAGAAAAGTCTACATTTATCTGGCCAGGGATCGAACCTGGGGCCTCTGAGATAGTGACACTATGAAAACCGGTGTGCAAGCCGCTCGATTACGGAGGTCGTCAAAAAAGTATAACATTTGGTTTGGTTGCCCTTCAAACATATAGGACTGTGAAAACAGCGTCATCGTACTAAACACTGCACGTGTATTTCGGATGCCAAAACCAATAAAGATGTTACCAATAGGTGCTTATGAGTTACGGGTATTCGAATTAAATTTATTGATACTTAAGACTATCGGCGTATTATTGAATTATTCCCGTCATCATCCACCTTCTCACTAAAGATGACGAGACTGCGCCGCCGCTTGTTATTCCAGTTACATGCATAAAGTAAAAAGTAAAAAAAAAGTAAGTTAAATGAGAAAACTGAATTAAGCAAACACTATTTTTCTTCGAATATTATAAAATTTGAGTATGAAAGTCTATAGTCGAATGTATCCAGGGGTTAATAAAAGTACTTTCTTTTTTTTATTAAGCGATGATGTGATATGGTGTGGTATGGTAGGGTCTAAGAAGTGCCCACTCACTTTAGCCCCAAACTGTACCTTTCGAATCGATTTCTTAGCCGTACGAAGGATTTCATGCAAATGAGTGTTATGTCAATGACATAAGAATGGAGTGTGTACCGGATAATCTAGTTGACCTAAGGCCGAAAACTGTAACTTAGGCTCTATAGAGTCGTTGCTAATAAATCTGGTTTATTCCACAAATCCTCACTTGTGGAGATCCTACAATTTTATTCCAACAATCACTACTAACAGTAGTCTTGCTTTGCAGTGGAAATTGGTGAAAAAAAAACCCAAGACATTGTTTTACCTATCATATTAAATTTTTAGATTAAAAATTTCCCCATCTAGTGGGGATTAGTCGGATAAACACAAATCTTAGCCTTTTTCTCCACAGCGCGTCCACGTTGAAGACGCATACGCATAGTCACATAGTAATTTTAACTACTTGCACACCTTACTACCACCTGCTGTGAGAAGGTAGATGGCGGGGAAATTATTAATATTTCGCGTAAGCATCCGAAACAGTAATCGTGTTAAAATTAATAATCAAGTTAAAATTAATGATGTTGTGGAGCCTATTGGTTGACAATCGTATTCTAAGACTCACACAATACCTTACAGATGTTATGGCAATGAGTAATAGAAGCGAATGAGTAACCTGGACAACTTGGCGACTTTCGCGTTTCTGATGGTAATAAGTTGTTGAGCTATAACAGAAAGAACTTCGATGTCGATGCGATTGAACTCATCGAAACAACACCAGGCTCCAGAAGTCGCAAGCCCAGAGAAGAATCGACCCATCATCTTGTAGTCAAGGCCTATGGGAAATAAAAAAGAAAAAGCTTGTCATCTTTACACAGCCATTTCATCAATTTTGCGTTAACGCCGTAGTTAACCATATTGGCAAGGGTCAATGGCACGTCAATTTTGACACTTAAGGTTTAATTCAACTCTAAGCCGCTTACGACAACAACGGTCCGAAGCCCAAAGTGTCAAGCTTGATGGGCTTTCGACACTACCTTTTTTTAATATTAAGTGACAATACCTTCGGAACAATTAAAGACCACGCACTGGATAGCTAGAGACTTAGCCAAGTCTTTAGTGGTTTCAGTCTTGCCTGTGCCTGCGGGACCGGCTGGAGCGCCACCCAGGTCTAGCTGCAGAGCTCCCATTAAGCATAAGTAACATCGATCCGTCAATGGAGTTATCACCAGTACACCTTGAAAAAAAAACAGGTGAAGTGGTGATTAAAAAAAAACCATCTAAAAGAATAACAACAACTAATAACAAATTAATGACAACTAAATGGAGTAAGACTGGACATTAGGGTGCGTACTACGTGTGCCCCCCGTGTGTGTCTGTGCACTCGCGGAGTTTTTCCTGTTAAAATAGACAGGAGTTTATTTTAAATTATTTTAACAGGACTGCTTTGAAACCTCAGGAGAGCGTAGCGAGGGTTTGTATGCCACGAGACGTAAAACAACTTTGCTGCCGAGCGAAACTTTTAACTTCACTATAGATGAAAGAAAAAACTGACTATAACAAATCACTTTTAATAAACAAAATTAGTTGTCGTTGTCAATTTAATGTCAACAATAATAAGAATAAAATATACTCACGGATTTATATTACATGAATAATGTACGACAAATTGCGTAGTTGAACACGTCATTATGGTTTTTTTTCAACGGAAGAAAAAGTTAGGCTTTACTCTCACTGGTGCAGAGTCGAAGCGTCTCGACGCATCATGTTTTTCGCCTATAGCATATTGACCTCTATTCTCCCATAAATAAGGTACAAATTTGTGTTATGTATGTGTTGTGCAAATATGGAGTAAAACGTCGACGTCGACGTATTGTTGCAGTCGAGCGGCGTCGCCGCGCGTTACTTCAGCGCTGTGAGGCGTCAGCCGCCGATCACACTGTGATCCGGACGCACTAATACTAATGTGAGCGTCGAAAAACATGACGCGACGCTTCGACTCTGCTCTGCACTTCTATTCAACGTCACGTTCGAATTTCAAAAACATTTGCGCGCACATTTGTAATGAGACGAGCTAGTGAGGCGAAATGAATATTTATTTACTTCCACTTGTCCGATCGATTTGAAATTTGTTACACTATGAAAATCCAATGACGTGACCTTGATCCGTTGCTGTAACCGGACAGTCAGCAGACTGTCTAACTCCTCAACTACTTACAGCAGTTTGGTCTTCTTAAATTGGTCTCGAAAAGATTGAATTGAATGAAGTTATGTTAGAATTTTGTATCAGTTTTTTTTTTTAATTTTAGTGTTATATCAAAAATTATGGATCACAGTACCTCCAGCACCAAGGTACTCGTGGCCGTAAATGTACATCGCGCTGGACATTCGAGCTACACAGTTTTCTATATCATCTTCCCAGTAGTAGCGAATCATTTTGAGCCACTCAAAGTCGTTTCTAAAAAAATGTAATAAGTACAATGTAGTAATATATATTAACATAAAACAACATTCGCACTCCTCGTGGAAAAATAGCAAAAGTGGAGTTAGGTCAAACATGTTTATTGCTCCATTAGATACAGAAAAATATAACACATCCTCTCGAATTCTTGTAACTTTATCCACAATATTAGTCGATAAAATTACAAGAATTGGAAAGGATGTGGGTTATATTTTTCTGTAAGTCCACTTATGTCATTCTTCCATGAGGGATGCGATTATATGTAATTCATGTATTTCAAAATGTACACAATATGTGAAGTGATTCAGACCCAGATGAAAACACGTAGACGCCCACTGTACATACATTATAACGAAAATACCTCATTCGAATTTAGCGCTAAATCCAAATGACCATAGGGTTAAATGTTTTATTGAATGTCAGGATGTTTCACCACCATGATATTTTTTTTTTTTGCGAAATTACTCCACTAGTTTGTTATAATTAGTAATACAAAGACCGAACACTTCAAAAAAATTCCTTCGATCCGGCCGGATTCGAACCGACGTCTTCTAGCAAACCGTGGCAACTAGGCTATGCTAACGACTATTTAGCCGTAGCGCCATCTATGAAAGTATTTCGTCATAAAGTTACCAGCAGTAGCCCTGCTATATATGATGATTATAACAGACCATAAGGTTACCAGAAAATTCAAACAAAACTGAGAGCATACTTGCTCTGGTCGGAAGTATGCAATATATTTAGTACATTGGGCATTTAGCGCTGTTTTTCCATTAACAGTAGTTTGCTAAGGAAGATAAAATAATGTGCTCAGGCCTCTGTTTGGGCGTCCTTACTAGTGTAGGGCGTCATGTTTACCGACGTCATTGTCGAGGATTTTTTCATTAATGCGAAAAAAGGTGGTTTGACTGCGTAGAGTGCGAGAGGGCTCAAATATAAGGGATAGGTTGGACTCCGATCTACTTGCTAGAGTTACCGAACTTCACGTCCTGGGAGGTCTTGGCAAGGGTCGTGTAATATGTAACCCTTCACTCATATAATTTATTTTTTGTCTACATTTTTTGTACTAACAATAGAACTTAACTGCCTCTGTGGCCGAACGGTTACCATGCCGGACTGCCACGCAGAGGTCCCAGGTTCGATTCCCGGGGCGGGAGAAATTTATAAAAATATTTGTATGGCCTACATTTATTTCTCTCGTGAGTTTGGGTGTAATTTGTGTCTATGTGTGTCCATGGCACCCGCGACACAGGGTGTCCCTAGTGCAGGGCTATGTCGAGTGTGTGCGTTGTGATTATTGTTATTATTAAAAAAAAATACCGAAGCCGAAGGCAGAGGGCATTAATGACGCGAGGTTTTTAATTTTTACCACCCGTGCTACATACAATGTTTTTGCGAGAAAACACATAGATACAACGATAATTTATTTCTTGTATAAATAAACATCGCTTTACAAGACAACATTTACGGATTTTGCAAATGATAGGTTTTTTAGCAGACTACCAGTTATTCTTCCATAGATATTAACAATTCGGTCTAAATTGTTATAAAAGGTACAGACGCAATCAGCCACAACGTATTAGATATGAAATAAATAATTTCCAAATTCTAAAAATACTACACAATTTGAATTCACGAAATAAATAATTTAAAGCATAAAAATGTTTTGCTTAATCTTGACGTAAAAATCCATAGGGCGATAATATAATGAAAAAACCCGTATGCATAATTTAGGACATTACGATCAACTTTACCTGCATGTCATGACACTGTTTACGAGCAAGTGTGATGAAAATTACTTTTATTTTTATTTATTATTTACAGAGTAATCGTAATTTTTTTTACGATTGCTTTGTAGTGCTCTACTCTGATGTTTGTTATATAAAATCTACTACGCTAAACTGAAAATTAAATTAAAATATTGTACTTACGCTCGCCTAACTTTCCCCGATACCATGTTCGTAATGGTGTCTCTGGCGTGGACATCGACTGTAATAAGCGCACACAGGACCTTCCGGAACAGGGAAGTCAAATTCTCACGGGTTAATGCAGCTAGATCATTTAGATCAGCAATACATTTCTTCTCGTATGCTAACATTCCTAAATCGATACGCAACGTGCTGTCGTAGTTCAATATTTCATGCACTCCTTTTGCCCACATTATTTGAGACACAGTTAAAACAACCTACAAACAGGAAACGCCATGACAGGTGGGAATTTGAAAAAAATTTACTTCATAACATTAGCTTACAATCAACTTAAAACACACGACGAAATACGGATAATTCTGAATATTTGTGAATATCAAGTTCTTAGGTTGGAGAATGACACATAGAGACACAGAACGATTGGAGGCAGTTGGAGGGAAAGAAAGACCAATAAGGAGGTGTTAAGAATAGTGAATGCAAGAAGCTTATTAAAGACAATAGAGAACCGAAGGTGGAAAATGTTTGGTCATCTGATGCGACACGACAGTTTTCTTAGAAACATAATAGAAGGAAAGATCGTAGGAAAGAGAGGCAGAGGAAGACCGAAACGAAGTTATTTAGATGAGATAAAGGAATAAGTTAATGTCGTGTCGTATCAGGAAATCGAGGCTAAAGCGCTAAACAGAGATGATTGGAGATTACTCCACCGACAAGAGCCTAGCTCTTAAATAAGGTTTCCGTGACTATTACTCATAGGAAATGAAACTATTTTTCGGATTTTAATCGCGTATATTTGTTTTTTGAAACTAACCAATTTTTCGAGCCTTATACAGGTCCTATGTCAGTCAACACTGGCCATGGTGCCCTATACGAGATTTAAATCCGAAAAACAGTTTCATTTTCTATGATATTGAATGTCAATATAATTCTAAATTTAAAAGATTTGATAGATTGAGTACGTCTCCATGTACCTGATTCGGATGCAATTTGACCCATTCGACGCGCGGGCGCATTTCATAGTCCTTTAACGAGGCTTTCATGCATCTCTTAACTGATGCAAACATGGCTTCTTCTACCTTGCCGAGCCAGTCTTCTACGTTACCTCTGGCTTTCAGTCCCTGGTACATAATAGTTTTATCAGTAATTTTCAAAAGGTTACATATTAAAAGACTTATTTGTTTCGGAAAAATGTTACACTGGCTTGGCTACCATTAATAAACCCTATTGGATATTCTGTAAGGTACAGGTGATAAAGACCTATCAATAACTGTCTCCGTGGCAGAACGGTCACTATTCCGGACTGCCACGTAGAGGTCCCAGGTTCGATTCCCGGGCCGGGACAAATATCTGTATGACCTATATTTATTTCTCTCGAGAGTTTGGGTGTAATTTGTGGTTCTCTATGTGTGTGTCCATGGCACCCGCGTCACAGGGTTTCCCTAGTGCGGCTATGTTGAGTATATGCGTTATTTGAAATAAATTGACGGTGGTGACATTGTCAAAGTCTCGAATTATATACCTTTCCCAAATTAATCCTCTCCCCTTCGGGAGAGAGCATTGCTATGATGTCAGTGGTCAGGTCTTCTGCCTTAGCGGTCTTCGCCATACGAGCCTGAAGTGCGTCTCTCGTGTTGAAAGACATCTCGCGTTCGATCATAGTGCCATCTTCCTGCATAACCATTTCTGTGTCGGGCATTTTGACGCCAAACTCGAGTTTTGCAATCGCGTCAAAGCATTTGCGTAGATGTGGTTGTACTGCGTGAGGGTTGCGCGTCTACAACGTCGACAATTTATAAGTTCGTTACAGAGGAGCAGAGCTCGTTGAAGAGAAATTAGGATAAGAATGACTTATTGCGTTGCCGCCGACACACACGAGCTTAGAACTACTATACAACAAATACGAACACAGAAAAGTAATTTATATACAAATGCACAAGTTAAACGCACTGTAATAATGAAAATAAATGTAAGTGGGACATGCTCAGCTTTTAGCAACGGACAGAAAATCCGACCTAGTAGCATTGGTTTTTAGCAAGCTGTATAAAAATTAAATGCTCTGATGCAGTAGACTATGGAAAAAAGGTGTTCTCGAAATTCACCTGAGCGAGTATCTCCAGTAATTCGTCGTTCGACAAGAAAAAGAATCTCGGGAACGCAACGCGCTTCGTTTCCAAGTAAGCCTCGAGGCATTTCATGATTTGGTCCAGCATTTCATTATTCCGTACAAACTCTTCGTATAAGTTCGGCTGTGTGGCTGCTGGCATAGCCAGTGGGACCTAGGAAAGGGTCACTTAGGTAATTTTTAAATTTATTTTTTTCTTCTACACTTTTTTATGATACCCAATGACGCGATGCACCTGATGATCAGCGACACGCCTGTTCAAAACAGTTGCAGTGCCATTCAGAGCTTCAAAACAGAAAGATCTGAGGGGCACTGCTATTGCGCCCGTCACCCTGAAATGCCTGTAACTTCATCAACACTCTTACCCTTCAAAACGGGGACGCAGTAAAGCGCACATCACTGCTTGGCGGCAGAAATAGATAATGTGGCTTCTCTGGACGACCTCTTTCACAAGGAGTTCTACCACTACAAAACTTTCTCGAAAGGTTCAATATTCGTCAAATTTCTTGTTATATAAATCTAAATGATTCCTTATACATCCTGCTGCCTATCACAGTCATCTACGGTTGCAGCTTTATAGGTTGCCACGACATGAAAGCCTAATATGGTTGAGAACTTCATATAATAAATTTCATGGGTGTGTAACGGAAGATATAACAACAAATAATATATTTTCACTTTGTATAATAAACCTTTAGTATAACAAATATTAGATATAATGATTAGGTGACATAATGTACAAACGGTATAAGTACTACTAGTATTATGTATTAAATAATATAACACAACATTTCATTTTACGAATAGTTGAAGCGCTTAACGAAATAAATTAGCAAATATACCTAAAAGAGAAACATGACAATTCTTTATTTATTTTTATTCGTGAGTGGTTTTAATACAATATATTTATTAAAACTTTAAGCAGAATATGTAATTGCATATACTAACCTAACCAAAACCCACAGGAGGAGGTCGAACCAAGTAGCAAATGCAAACAAATTCGGTTCTGGCAGACGCCTGCCGCTGCCGCGACACGCTCACAGCGCTCGCTCGGCTCGTGCAGCTTTGTCATATACTAACCTAACCTAAACCCACAAGAGGGGATCGAATCAACTAGCAAATGCAAACAAATTCGGTTCTGGTAGTGGTCGGCCGCTGCCGCGGTGTGCTCGCTGCGCTCGCACAGCTGTGCAGCTTTGTCATTTACTAACCTAACCTAAATCAATTCGGTTCTGGCAGTCGCCGGCCACTATCGCAGCACGCTCGCTGCGCTCGCTCGGCTCATGCAGCTTTGTCATATGCTAACCTAATCTAAACCCACAAGAGGGGGGTCGAATCAACTAGCAAATGCAAAACAAATTCGGTCTATTCACCATTGCACCTAAACACCACTGGAATGTATATTATATTCAGTGAATGCTATATCTTAGTGTTTATATAAAATGAACTTTATGCCATCGGTATATTAGATTGAAGTGACCTTTTATATGATGCAAGAATATGTCAAATGTCTGTATACCATAAATTAATTATATCTGTTGCGCGTTATATCGAGTAAAAATATGTCATTTGTTTGTTATACAGCGTGTCCCAAAATTCAACGATAAGCGGGCGCTGGAGGGTGGACATGCGCATAACTACTTGAGGAAAAATAAGAAAAAAAAATCTATCTCATTTTTTTTTTCAATTACGATAAAAAAATTGTTATTCTTCGAAAATTTACTCTTACTGCTTTATTGTTATTCAACAAAGGGCATCTATCTATCTCTTTCTAACGTATATCTCTTGCTATCTTTCTCTCTCTCATTTCTAAATTGATCGACTACGCACATGTGCCATTCTAAGAAATTGCATCAAATAATCTTTTTTCGGCACATAGTGAAAGTGATTATTATGAATAAGAACAATAATCAAGAAATTTAGTCTTTCTTAGAAATGGTACCAATATTTTTTTGCGCCTAGTTCTCTTAAAGTATTATACCATTTTGGAATCTTGGTTAGTTGCGTCAATTTTTAAAAATACTTGCCGCAGTGGTGTCCGTACTTTTTTTTACAAAACGATGAGTGAAAGTCGACTGCAGGTAAAAATACTTCAAAATTTCAAGGAAAAAAAATATTTTGATGGATTTTTTTGTAAAATTGCAGGCATTTTGGGAATTTTAAGAGTTGTGGTAGACAGCAGTACTACTTAGGTGGCCGTTAAAATAAAAACATCAGAAATATCTGAAAAATTGTGGTCGTGGTGATTTAAAATATCATTAAAGGAGTAAATTTTCGAAGAATAACAATTTTTTTATCGTAATTTAAAAAAAAATCATATAAATTTTTTTTCTTATTTTTCCTCAAGTAGTTATGCGCAGGTCCACCCTCCAGCGCCCGCTTATCGTTGAATTTTGGGACACGCTGTATATTACGAACCGCACCCGAATTTCATATTGTTTTAAGCAATATTGATAATAAGATAGACGAGTACACATAATAGCGAGGAGCGTTTACTGCTTTTGGATTGAAGTACTAAATAATGTAAAATAATGTATATTATACCTTAGCGACTTTTCGCATAATATCCTTCCAGGATTTGTCAACAAGAGTGAACAATCTCGTTTCATTGGGCAATTGCCTCTGAATATCAGGTGCCGAAAATATGACTTCCAAATACATCCAAGTTTGTTGACACTGTGACCACTCCTCCTGCGGATTAAATAATTGTAATGTATGTATGAATGATTGGCATTCACCAATATGTTATCAAATAAGTTTGTAAGTACAAACTAAATGCATATTCGGGACTATAAATGAAATGTTAATTTATAGTCCCGAATATGTAACAAATAACATTAAATAATTACAGATATTGAGTTGTAGGGGCCACAACTGTGCTATAGTAATGACGTCTATCTAATAGCGGTTTCAAACGGCGATTTTTAGCAGCGATGCAGTAGCGATGCAGTCGCTAATCGTCTACCTTTACCCACGCGCGCGATTTTAAGCAAAAGCTTAGATGGATGAGTTAAATAAGAAAACAGTTAATCGGTAAGCATACAAGCTAGATGTAGAGGCTGTGTATCTCTTAAGTTGTTGTATGTTGTCAAATGTCTAAGTAGACTAAATATTCGTTAAACACTAAAATAATTGTCTATTTATGTCCACAAGTAGTAAAAAAAGAAAGAGTGAGTAAGAGAGGTGAAAATTAATTGTAGAATAGTATGACATCGACGTTTTATGGTCATATTACCAGAGTTTTTGAGAACAGGTCCAGATTCTTTGCCCATTCTTCAACTCTACTTTTGATTGGACCGCAGTTTCTAGAGCTGAGTATTGTGCTGATATGTATACAGCTCTCGTCGAGACTTGCTTGGATTTCTTCTAAACCACCCAGTACGAAAATGTCTCGAGAATCCTTATGCATAAGGACCGGGAATTCTAGTTGAGCCCATATTTCCTCCACCTGTCGAGAAAGATCGCTGTTAATGATGTCAAATTGGAGAAATTTGGTGAAATTACAAGCACATGGGACTTGTCAACTTATGTCTCCGGGTGACGGGTACAGTGGCAGTTAACATTAACATCATCGACTCATTTATACGTCTCACTGCTCGGTACGGGCCTCCTCTCCGGCGAGAGTCTTAATCTTTTTTTATACAATATCAAGAGACGGAACGAACAAGTCATGCGCCTGATGGTGCGCTATACACCTGTCTATAACAGTTGCAGTGCCACTTAAGAGTTTAAATCACAAAGATCTGGAAGGGCCAGTGGCAGTCCGCTGCGCTCGTCCCCTGAGACGTAAGTTGACAAGTCCCATGTGCTTGTAAGTTCAGCAGTACCCTTAACCCTTCAAAACCGGAACGCAGTAATGCTGACATTACTGCTTGGCGGCAGAAATAGGTAAGGTGGCTGTATTTCCCTGGACGAACTCTTTCACAAGGAGTTCTACTGCTACTACAAAAGCCTCTTATTCAGGTAAAAAGATAGACCTTTTTAAGTAACGCCTCGAGACCGGCTTCTGAACTGGCTTGCCCAGCAACTTCCATGAGCTCTTCGGCGTGCTGGAAGCACCCTAGATCCTCGTACATCTGTAGCGTCATTGTGATCTCCGGCGAGAACCGCGTCTTGAGTATTTCTTCAATTCGCACCCAGTGACGTGGACGGAGGGCAGAGTTGCGGAGGTAAGATATCACCGGTATCTAAAATATGATAATTCACATGTAGTAATCAACACTCACAAAGTGGTATGTATGATTTATCCATATGTGAACAAAAGCTTCTACAAAAACCAAATTTTCAATACAAGAGGTTTGCTACGGTTGGTCGGTGATACGATATTTCATAGGTTCCCAAAGCTTTTGGCTCACCGCCCACTTAGGCAACTGGGGGGCGGCAGGGACCTTGGGAATCTATGCCATATTTGAACATTACTAGGTACCACCTGGTACATCTATTAAACTACTTATTTTAATTCTTGTAGTGTTGTAGTGTATGGTTCGAATCGTTTTCTAATATTCTCACAGTGCCAGTGCTGTTTCATGCCATGCTAGACTCTTCTGCTCATCTTTCTATTTATAGCTAGACATTCTTTGTTCCCTCCAGTCGCGTAGAAATTTGGGAACTGGAAACACGCCGTTTTACACACGCCGTGCCTTACAATTCCACTACCAAAGAGGAGATTTGGTAGTTGACTTAGAGTCGACGGCTCAGCGGTGGCAATCGTTAGTTCAGGTACCTATCTGGAAAATAGGGAGGGTGCTGAACGTGCACCCGGGCTGCTCACCTAAGGCACTAGTCTTACAGAGAACCGGATGAAGTCCGTGCAAACAGGCTAATCTGGGGTTAGGACCTGAGAGCCCTTCTCGTATACCCTACTCTACTCTACCCTAAAGGGTCGGTAGGGAGAGTTTTGCCAAAACTGGCATACAAGTTTTAAATTTTCTTACATTACAAATTGTGTACGTCTAAAGCAATTTTAATAATTTAGAGTTATTAATTATACATGTTATAATGTATAGGAAGTAACTAAGTACATGTCAAGTAGTAAAAAAATATATATAATAAATTAATGTCATTTTCTAGGTCAAATCAATTATATATATAGTCAAATCTGAAGAGCTTTATGTGAAAAAAAAGTAGTAGATTGTGGAAATACGTGCTATGGTAGCAGGTAAACAAAATGTAAAGGACGTTACCTTCTCTTTAATAATGTCTATAGTCCTCTTACACTGTGGCACAATCTTATTAGGCGGCAAACCTTTGTCGAGTTGGTTGAACATTTTGCCGTAAGTAATTGTTGTGTTTTGTATTTCTTCTACATCCAATGTATTGAACGGCACCTCGTTCCTGTTTGATAAATGTTATTAATCTAAGTGTGCACGGAAATCATTATACGGATATCTGTAGTGTGTTAATGTAAAAAAGAAAATAAATTTACCAAGACTGGTACAAGTTGAGCCATTCTTTTGAATTCTTCCAAAGCATTTGCCTCAGTTTAACATCATTTATGGTTTCGTCGAGTTGTTCTAGACGTGCTGGTGGAATCTGCAGAACAAAATACTCAGCTTCAAATACTTTCATTACCAAGATAGAACATCGCAAAACAAGATTTAACGCAGGGTTTTAGGTGTATGTAAAAAATTGCAAATGTTTTATTCTTTTTCAATAGGCAAAATTTTTTACACATTTAGGGCGTCTTGTTCACTACTCGAGGAAGAAGAATAGATCTTTCAGTTCACCTTGAATATTTTCTGCCATTCGCGAATTTGCTTATCTCTTTGAGAACAAACTTGCAACTTCTCCATCAATGCGTCTAGCGTCTCCATTACTTTCTCCACGTCGGATTTTTCATCATATAGCCATTGTTGCTGAAATGTTTCCCAGTTAGGTAAATTATTAGACCTACGAAACGTCTACACAGATATTTCTCAAAATGGTCCATATTGACCCCAAGTGCGGATTCTAAATGGAATGGGGTCCATGGCAGCGAAAAAAAAATAGGTGTGCATGAGATGTAAATGGGGTCCAAAAGCGTGGATCCTGTATATTTTTAACTACCCTCCAGTTAAACCTATCTAGGTAATCAGCAGTACTGTAAAAGTTATCAAACAATTTTGAAGTTAAGGCTAGGTATTTCGACGTGAACCTTTAACATTTTAGGAGGTGAGGTGTACTGAGCCGGCCTCGCGTCCCGCGCGCTTAAAATTATTATGAATAAAATAAGAACAGGTGAAACAAAATTTGACATAGATTTATAACTATAGGGCTTCAGTTGAAAACCAAAATTTAGCAGATACGCTGTAGTAGTTACAGAAAAATATATCCATAGAAAAATTATGTGCAAAATTAGATATTCTGTTATAAAATAATTCACTTATACTTTTATTTTAGCCTGTTTTCAGGAATTTATATGATCGGGGAACATCCTATCGTGTAACGAATTAGCACTTTCTTTAGATAATATCCTTACGTGTATGGTATATTATTTATACAACCGTTCTTGAATAGTAAATTCCTAAACCATTTGATCAAGCAAAACGGCTTTTCTCGCTTTTCTTCCGGTGACTCACCTAACGAATTTGTAAAAATTCAAAGTCAGGGAGTCTACGAGCTAGAAAAGTTTTAGGACCTTTAATCTAGATGAAAGCTTGAAACTTAAAGCTCTAAACGTAAACATTTACGTTTAGAGCTTTAAGTTTAGTAGAGCGTTTAGTTTAATAAAAACACTTTGGACTACTTAAAGACAACTCGTTCTGTAGGCATAATTGCTACAAAGGTTCACACTGCCACGCTATGATTCAAATAATAATGAAATGAAATTAATGAATTAGGTACGTTCATACCCCGACTGCCTCTCTGAGAGCGTTGACATCAGTCATGAGTTCCATAATGTCTTTGCCGATCTGACTGGCAAACTGGCCGGCCAGCTTGCTGCGAGTTTCCAGTCGTGCGTCCACACTCGTTCTAAGATTGCCCAGTATTACGCTTAAACCTATATTGTGAAAATAATTTAATTTTAAAGTTGACTAACTATATCACCACAATAGTGTAATAGTGGAAATAAATAAAAAAGTAAATTTTATTAACTAACAGATATCTACAAAGGGATCGTCAATTTGTAACCTAAAGATTGTCAATATGTACTCAAATACAAAAATAGAGAAATACAACAGATTTCTAAACTAAAAAAATTCAGCTCTGCTTCGTAGGTTGCTCAAAAGTTTCATTATAAGCACAATAATAAACAAAAAAGACAGAGAGAGATTGGAGTCATTTGAAATGTGGTGCTGGAGGCGAATGGAAAAAATCAAATGGTTTGAAAAGAGACAAGTGAGGAAGTTTTGGAAAGGGTTGGAAGGAGTGAAATCTGTTGAATGCAAAGTAGAGGAGAAGGGGGAAAATGTTTGGACGAATTCGTCAGAGTGACAACTGAGGGGAGGACAGAAGGGGAAAGCGAGGAAGACCAAGAATGGCGTTTAGTGAACAAATAAAAAAGAAGATCAAAATGAACAGCTGTAGAGAGGTCAAAGAACTGACAATGAACCGTGAGGAGTGAAGGAGGCTACACCGACAAGAGTCTAGCTCTTACATAAGATGACGACTTTGTTGTTTCTTTATAATAACTGCCTCCGTGGCCGAACGATTACCATTACCACGCAGAGGACCCAGGTTCGATTCTCGGGCCGGGAGAAATATTTGTATGGCCTACATTTATTTCTCTCGTGAGTTTGGGTGTAGTTTGTGTGTGTCCATGGCACCCGCGACACAGGGTTACCCTAGTGCGGGGCTATGTTGTGTGCGTGAGTTATTATTATTATTATTATTGTAGTCTAAAATATTTAGGTACATTAACATCTTTGTCAAATCTGGTGCAATAAGTTCCGAGTTGGGGAGCCTGGAAGTCTAACACACAGATCTCCTGAACTAATTTAGATTCCAGTCTCCTATAGATTTTGTCGCTTTAGTTAATAAGATCTGCTTGTACCAAGTAATTGAAACAAAAATTAGCGAAGTGAATTTTTTTGTTTCTCTTTTATTACCTGTTTTGTATTGCAATATTTTTATTATTATAAAATTAATATTTATTAATAAGCAGTCGCTGGTAGTCGCTATGGGAAAAGAGCCATGTAAAAAACAATATCAGCAATAAGCACATAGAGAAGTCATAAGGTCTGCTGATTCGTTCCGTAGCTCGGTTGGGAGAACGGTTAGTCCCGGTCTGGCAAATAGTCGCTGATGCGAAACCAGCTATCGGGCTGGATCATAAAGGATTTTTTTGTGTTTGTTCGATCTTTACATCAATAATAACACAAAGAGCATTTTCACAAAAAAATACATGAATAACATTATGATATTCAATAAAATAAATATTAAGTATTATTATATAAAGGTTCAAATCTAATCATACATGTGTGAAAATACACACATCAAAATGGCCTATGAATCAAGCACGTTTTTACTAATTACTGAAAATCAATTAACATCTATGGATTTTTTGGTCAATTTCATTTTCAAATTCAAGTTATAAAAATGACCATAAAATCGGTGTCTCTTTTTTATTTATTATAAACATAACAGAATTTACATGGATGTAATAATTTTAGTGTCCTAACAGTTTAGGTTTTACGTACACTGTCTCTGTACTCGTCATCTAGTAAAAGCACACTTTACATTTAACATTAAGTTGTAGTTATAAAGTAATCGAAAATATCAGATCTGCAAACACTGTTAATTTAATTGTAGGGTAAGATACAATGATAGCACTCAATTCAACCTACCCTGACCGATCGACACGCCGAGAGATTGCGAGAGCCTGTATTACAGTGGTGGGCAAAATTTAATTGTTCTGGCAATTAAAGATTGACAATTGATTAATTGTTAATTGCGAAACAGCAATTAACGATTGATCAATTGTTAGTTACGAGAACCGCAATTAACAATTAATCAATTGTTAATTGCGGTTCTAGCAACTAACAATTGATCAATCGTTAATCGCAAATATCTACAATTAACAATTAATCAATTTTCAATCTTTTCAATGTTTTTGATTAACAATTAACAATTAAAACTGACAATTATGATAAATTTATAGGGCATATGGGGGTGAGTTACGGCGTTGGTTGTGGGGGCCTGTTGGGGGCCTGCTGGGGGCAGGTTAGGGGGCCGGTTGGGGGCCCGGTTGGGGGCCCCGGTTGGAACCCCGCTTGGGGGCCCCAGTTGGGAACCCCGCTTGGGGTCCCCGGTTGGGAACCCCGCTTGGGGTCCCCGGTTGGGAGCCCGGTTAAGGGGCCTGATGGCTCCGAACCGGGCCTCCCAACCGAGCCCCCAACCGGGGCCCCCAAGCGGGGTTCCCAACCGGCCGGAATTGATTTTAATTGAAAATTTATACCATACACACGTACATTCACATACGCATAAATTGTAATTTATAACACAATTTATATATTATATATATAATATATACATTCACATGTGTGTATATAATCTATAATTACGTATGTGATGTTCTCTTAATGTTATTTTGTAATACATTTAAGAAATACAATGATACAATGCTTCTTTCACTTATTTTTACTATTTATTTTATTCATTTGTTGTTTGTCGTAGGTCGTTTATCACTTTAGTTGATGTTTTCAGTAAAGAGTGTTAAAACATAGAAGCGTTAAGGTATCGTTAGAAGAACTGCGTGTTTTTCTATCACGATTCCTGATAATTTGTAGATTTTTATTGAAATGATTTTCTGCTAGTAGTAGAAACTTTACCTGATCATGTATGGGTATCATAGAGCAATGACAAAAAAGTTCGTTGTAATCTTTGTGCTGGGCCCTAATTTATAGCTTTTGCAAGTTCTACTACAGGAACTAAGAGCATAATGAATTGTCGTCTCCCCTAGCGCCTTATACAAACTTAAAAGTGTGATGTACGGAATTGTATTTTACTATACTTATTTTGGTAAATACTGCTCATAATTTGTCACATACATAACTAACATGCTCAGTCCATTTACATCTGTCAGCTATTATTAAACATAGATACTTTAGCTTACGGAAGAGTTCAATTGAACTACAAGAAAAATTTCGCTGTTCAATGTAAAGGCAAGTGCCTTAAAGCTGTGCCACAAGTGTGATTATGCGCAATAAGTTTTAAATTTTTTTTCGCTTTTGGCTAGAACTTATGTACATCATTTTTGTTTTATTACTATTAAGCACAAGACCCGCATCATGAGACCACTTCGACAAGAGAGTGAAATCTGTTTGCAAATGAGATAAGGCAATGTCTAGGTCTTTGTTAGCAGCTAAGACATACGTATCATCTGCAAATTGATGTTAAAAAATAAATTTTCAGTAATTGTCAAAAACGTGCTTGATCCCCTACATACTTTTGAAGTGTGATTATGATTGCATACCCAAATATTCGTTCATATCATCGGGCGGTATGGGGCAATTGAACTCGCCCATAAGATCGTATAACTCGCGGAGGTACTCCAGGCGATCTTCCAAGCGATCGACGCGGGAGTTCACACCGTCGAGCATGTAATTAAAATCTACGAGCTCAGCGGCTGTTTCAGGTTCCTTGCTGATATCGTCATTAATTCCTTCAATTCCGCTTATTATCTCATCTATGCAATCACGGCCGATGCTACAAAAACAATCATTGCAATGTCGTTACATAGTGTACGAAATAACACAGAAACTTGTAGAACTTTGAAAACCATAAAAATGTAATCCTTATCTATACCGGCGCTAGAAAAGATCACACTTACTCTGGCGTAACACTGACAACAACATCAAATAATTTCCTAGGCATAGGACGGAACAGTTCCTGGAACGGCGACAGATTCAAAAACATTAAACCCAACGGCTGAAAGCTTACTACGTCTTCTATAGCCTCCATTTGGGCGTTCAGTTTGTTACATAGTTTCCTGAATTCGTTTACATCTCTCTCTTGTCTAATAATTTGAAGGTCCATCTCGCACGCTTCCCTGTATGCGTCCATGAAGATTCCCATACGCTCTAGGAACAACCAAACACATTCATAACCGTATGCGTGAGAATATGGTATAAAAGCAATATCATCCAACATTTTTTTATCTTGGTTCATGAGGAAATACAGATTTGGAGCATCTCCTGCTGACCAATCAACTGTTTTCCCCATAATAGTCGGTTGCACAAATATCTGAAGCGATTCTTCGTTCAAAAAATTATGGAATTTTCGCACATATTCAACCCAGTAGTTTGTTATTTTCTCCATGTAAGTAGTTATAATTTCCTGACTTGGATTCAATTCGATCTCGCCAGATGGTAAAACAAATGCGTCTAGTTGAAACAAAGCCCACTGCAACAATTCATTGAGATTACTTTAACAACCAGATGTGTTTTGTGCTACTACCTATTTTCATGCGTTTGATATACCTTGCATTTTTCAACAGGCCTTGGAAAGGTTTCAAGTACTTCGTCAAGCTCTTTTCCAGCGAGAAGGCTACGTTCTGGCGTGTAACCAACGTGGACTCGCAACATGTCCGCCATCATGTAGTTGGATCTCTTAGTAAGACGATATAACATATAATTCGTCATGTAATCGGTTAATTTTATGAAACTGAAATAGGATATTTATTTTTACATTACGAAATCACGAACGAAAGCTGTGGTAGCAACAAACGATATGCGTGCCAGATTTCGTAGTAAAATGTTATATCACTATTATTGTTAGTTGTATCTAATGATATTGGTTTATATCTATAAGTATTTAGAATGTGCATGATACCAAAATGAAGAAAACTTTTTATTACCGAGCCAGAAACTCGCAGTATTTTCGTTTATTAGCTTTTTCGGTGTAGGACATGCCGCCAGTGGGTTTGCCTCTAATTATTTGAAAGGGTGGTATATTTCTGTCATCATACACAAATCCTTGCAAGTAAAGAGCGGTGTGGCAGGATTGCGTGATCACATCCAACACAACCGTCCGAAATTCTATCAACTTCTCTCTCATGTATTCCACTTGTTTCAACTGAAATGTATGTGTATAAAATCTTGAAGTAAGCATTGTTTTATTACATAAATTAGTCTCAATCATCTTTATTAGCCGGATGACGTCTAGTGCCGTACTTATATCTACTGAATAAAATACTCCACACATGATACCATGTACCTACAGTTATATACGAACTGTATACTAAGAACACAATATGGTTTAACAAATTTACCTGAACTTCTATAAAGTAAAAGAATGCAGTGTCCATATCTCTGCTTAAATCTGCAAAACTTTTCATATACATTTCACAGCACATGGCTTGAATGCTGAGGAGCGCTTTTCCTAAAGCTGGCGTTAGGATGAATGTATTCTTAAGCAGTTTGCTTCGAAGCTTGCTATATTTTCGAAATAATATGGACTTTCGCCATACATAAAAAGCTTTCCAATATCGATAAACACGAAAAAATTTTATCTGGAAAAGGTTTTAATGTTAATAATATTTTAATGTTTCAATGTTTACAACTGAATAGTAGTTAGTATTTACGTCGGTTAGTTGAACGAAAATGGTATACTCTTCTTCCCAGTCTTCTATTTTAGTGAAAACCATTTCGTTGGTGTAATGAGTCACTCCGCAAGGGCTGATTGTTAAGAAATTCTTCTTATCTATTTGCTCGTAAGGAACCACCCTTAAATAAGAAAATTAGCACTTGTATTTAAGATTATTATCTAATATATACCGATTTTACAAAACTGTGAAGTAGACATAATGAGGCTTACTTCAAATAATACGGTGTGAAATAAACATTTTGCGGAGGAACAGCATACATCATGTAAAGAAAACCACATTCTGGATGTGTCCTGACGAAATTAATTACTTCTTTCTGTGAGGGGGTTTCAGGTTTAACTTTTAAGGGATCTGTGGTACTTTGCTCTTCATAATTGTCAGTATTCTCTGCTGACTCACGAATCTTAATTCTTTTCTTTTTAGCTGCAAATTTAATAGAAAACTTCTAGCTCAAAGCTGCAACCCTTAACTATTACTTAGCAGTCAAGAACGACATTTATTATTAGTGGCAAATTGTAAAAATTCATTACGCGCTAACATTGTCAATTGCAAATATTAATCATGAGCTAATATTGCAGTAAAAAAAACCGAGGTATCTACTGCGGAGGAACGCCTTAAGGCTGCCTTTCCACTAGAGATATGCGAGGTAGTGAGGCTGTGCGACGATGTGTAGCGGCGCTGTGGAACGGTGCGAGTTTTCCACCAAAGCTGTGCCTTGTAGCTAGGCGGTGAGAGGATGCGTTACGGACTCTTTTTCAGCTATGCGCAGGCGGGGTACGGTGTGGTGGGGTGAGAGGTGGTGATGTATCAGTGTCAGTTAGTGTCATACTTTCAGTAGCTCCAGTTTCCTGCACCGTTTTGTACACATTCCTCGCCCGCATCTCTCGCACACATCTGTCGCTATTTTGTATGTACATACAAATACTTAGCGCGCTAACCCTTTTCCACCGGAGCTGCGCTAAGCGAGGCCAGGAAAATGAAGTAATCCAATTGGTTTGATTTTTTCTTACACAACGCCTCGCTACGTCACACATCTATGGTGGATAGGCAGCCTAAGCAACTGCACGATACTGGCCAAACCAAACACTGCGCCTAAGGCCACGTTTTATTTATTTTTTGATATGAAAAATTTTGTTGTAAAAGTCTACCTCACCTAAGGTCACCATCTTTACTGTTAAGTGACTGATGATGTTACGCGGCTATCAAAAAACGCCTATTCCCTCTAGCGTAGAGTAGCCCAAGGTTGTAGTTTTCGGAAACAAGATGGTAGTGTAATTCCTCTGTCGTATGCATTAATTAGTACGCATATAGGAGGAAGGAAAGCGGTTCTGTGAATTGGTTGTATATTAACGACATAAGGTTGGGAGTGTTGTGGACTTTCTAGTCGACTGAAAGACGAACGATGAGGGTGGAGCTAAATTGTAAAGCTCTTATACTAAGCCCTTTTCGGCTGGGATCGAGATTTTGTAGCTTCCTACTCGATAAGAGGGTCGTGGCCAGGCCAGTAAGTATCTGACAGAGGGTCGCGGGCAGGTCAGTAAGTCTCTTTGATGTTCGCTCCACTGAGTTCAGGCAGCTAACTGGTATCGGGCAGAGCCGCCCCAATGGTAGCCTGCAGTGCTCCGTACACGGACAACGCGCTTGGTAGAGATTTAAAAGATGTTCTGGTTTAAATACTGCCTATGCTATGTGAAACGATGATTAGTTTTTGCCAAGCAGGCGACGTAGCGACCAAAATTTACTAGATGATAAGTCTAAACCAAGTAGTTCAAGGTCGGCACTTATAGACACAGGGTAGTCTGCTCAGTAGAGAAAGATACTCATATGTTTTGCTGGCCTTAAATCTGACTTATCGCGCCTCCCCAATCGTAAATTCAGACTTAAACCATGTGACGATTGCCTCTAGTTTACACTGGGTCTCTTAACTGACACTACTGACCTACATGACATCGTACACAAATTGATCTGTCTATCCATGTGCATTTCGTAAGCTGGAAACTTCTTATAATAATGCCAGACCCTTTAAAATGCCATTTAAAGCTTCGAAGGATACGGTAAGCGTATTACTCGACGGCCTCACCGCATAAATGTGAGGCATAGCAAGGTCTCTGGGTCCTTAGTGTGTTTTCAAAATAAAAATCACGTTTGCGTTAAGATTTTAATTTAAACTTTACAGATGCATAATTAAGATCTAATTACAAATCTTTAGCTCGTTAGTCTTAAAGAGTATGGAGGTGATTTAGTGACATATTGGTACGACTACATTTCCTACGTAAAGACTTGTACATTTCAAGATTTCAGGTTTTCAATATAGGCAAGTCAACACCGGAGACGAGATAATACGGGTACACTGTTCCGTAAGCAAGTGCTGGGCTCTCGTCAAGACCGCTGGCTTTGATTACGTTTAAGTTGCGTTAACTTTTCAAAAACTCCAAAATTATTTCCGGTATTTCTGAGTCACTACGAGATAGAGTGGTATTTGTAATGTAGCTTCATGGCGAGAGATGCAGGCGAAGAGAAATATTAAGAGATTTGCTATCATATTGAGAGATTTACTATAACATGGATGATGGATGCAAGGGATGACTTTTAAAAGTTTGCCTCAACCAGTTCTTGGCGAATAACCATTATTGTACTTTCATGCAATGAATGTTAAGTAGAACGACTTTGAAGTAGGTTACCCAGGCTACTTGGGTTGTCTTGATTCCTGACAATATTCTTAATGATAATATTCCAGGTGTTATTGCGGAACACACAGTCTTTTTTTCTTGCTTACCGTTTTTCTGTAAATGTACTGTTCTGCTAATAAACAAATATGATATCTGCCAAACGTGTAGGCACATAATGAAATTCACCAAAAAATTTTCAGTAAAAATACGGTAGGTATAGGCATTTTCATATACTTACGTTCACAATCTAAGTTTAGTGGTGCTAAGTGTGTTTGTGAAGGCTTCTTTTCCCGTCGGTACCTCTCTTCTTGGGCAAATGTGAAACCAGTCTAAATAACATCAACAGGTCAAGTATTTTGAGTTTTATATTCATAAATAAAAACTTTTTTTGTTTCGATAAAGGAAAGTTGTTAGATAAATGTACTGTTAAATGATCTGTCAGTGACACATGTAATTTGCAAAAACAGAACTAAAAATAAGTTGATAGAGAAAGGCTTTGAGGGCTTACCAGAGGTTCTGGTTCTTTCTTCACATATTCTATCTTTTCTAAAAGTTTCTTATGTGGCAAATGAAAAGGAATGTCGCGTGGTTTCCTGATAATTACAAATAGTTAACAATTAATTTTGCAAGGTGTGGTGACATCGGGTGGAGTAAAACAATAACTAAATAGTGTCCTAGATCATCAGCAGCTTCTTGGACCCTACTTGGTTATACTGGGTGTAATTGTTAATTGCGCCCAGGCAATTATTCTATAATATAAGAGATATCAAAAAGCTTTAAACTGATATCGAAAGTATAATACCTAATGAGTAAATCGATATGAATAACTTTTTAAAAATAAAACTAGAAATATCCAATATTTTAACATTAAACACTCCCATACATCTAATATGACATTCCATGGGAGGATTTGGTTGACCTACTTTAAGAGGTAATAATAAGTTTACAGATAATGAAACTGCTATAAATAAAGTAATAATCTTTCAATTGATTAAAAATGTAATGGCATAATCAATCATTTGGTCAAGTGTGAGTTGTCTATGTATAAAATTGGTCAAATTTTTTTATTGCTGATCTACTCTGTTTCATGTAAGGGTCATTTCATTATATGGGATGAAAAAATCGGGACAGCAGAAGTTGGTAAATTTAATAAAATGTTGTTCTTGTTATTACTTTATCTAAAGCAGTTTTAATTATCTGTAAACTTATTGTTACCTCTTAAAGTAGGTCAACTAAAGCCTCTCTATAAATGTCATATTAAATGTAAGGGAGTGTTTAATGCTATAATTTTAGATATTTCTACTTTTGTTTAAAAAAAGTTATACATGTCGATTTACTCATTAGGTAATATACTTTCTATATCAGTGTAAAGCTTTTTGATATTTCTTATATTTATAAGCTCACTTAACGGTTACACCCTGTATACCGGTTTATTTGTAAAATACTAACAACCTCACAAGTCTATGTTACAAATATCATAAACAACAAGTTTTGTTCCATGACTTTTTACAAAACATAATAATAATAATAATAAAAATAATAAATAATAATAATAAATAATAATTGAAAAAATAAACTTTTTAGTTTTTGTTGTACTTTCTGACGCTTTTTTATATCTGTATTTGGTAGCAAATTGTATAGTAACTCTACCTGCATGCGTGTGCGGTGTGCTGCTTTGGATGATGATGAACAGTTAATAATTAACACTACATAGCCGTTACATATTGTAAACAAATTACTTGAATATATTTCGGTTTAAATGTGGTTACAGAGTAGATTCACTTTGAAGTCTAATGTTCAAATGCCAATGATTAATTAAAATAGATTCATAGAATGCTTAATAGATATCAGAAAGTACATTAGATCTATCGCAGAGTCAGCATTGTCTTGGCTGACTCTGCGATACATCTAATGGGTCACAAATTAATACCCCTGTTCTAAGAGAAATGCAGAAAGAAATTTATAAAACAAAACATATAAGTCAGCCTTAATGAGTTAACAAATAATTTAGGTACCTGTTATATAACGTAGGAACATGGCGAGTGTTTCTTTGTAAAGTCTCGATCGCTGGTAACGTACTGGATTTTGCATTTTGTGTAAGTTCATACATGATTGATAAAACTGTACGAGTGCTATTTATGTATCCTGATTTTAAATAAATATATTACTATTTTACATTCGTAAAACACAAGTACAGTAAGTTATCGATTATTAAAATTCGTGCTTGTTTACGTATTTCCAAGGATACATAAAACTACCACGGAATTTCGTAAACTAAAAAGTCAAAGCAAAAGTTTTAAATCGTATTCGAAACATAATTCAATATAAAACATTTTTTTTTTTGCTATTTGTCTTTGCGTAGAGCATTTAGCCAATGAAAAAGTTAGGGAAACAAGGATATAGGAAAAACAGAACGGGCCGGAGTTTGGAATAGAAAAAGGATGTGGTTTTATAAACTATAATAAATAATACATAAACTTAATGCTATCAAATATTGATAGCATTTTATTTATAAATAGGGTTAACGTTTTATATATTTCAAGATTAATGTTATGTAATAAACAAATAATGGATGTAGGAAATGGAACAGGGATATTCAAGAGATGATTAAAAAATTCAAAGTGATCATACTGTGGACAACAAAAAAACATATGATTTAGATCTCCATACACGCCACAAGAGCGTAGAGGATCTGTAGCAATATTAAATTTATATAACTGCGCAGGAGTATTAAACATGGCCAAATCGAAGTCTGCTAATAACAGAGGTGCTACGTTTATCAAACAGTAATATAGTAAACCAAGGTTTATCAGGAATGTACTCTTGCACCAATCGATAAAACTTCCCTTTGGAAGTACTATTGACCCAGAACTCATTCCATGCTTCATTTAGGTATACTTTCGGGAGAGTAGCCAAATCGTGACAATAATTGTTGTAAGGAAATATGTCACCATCTTGAATAATTGAGTTAGGCAGTTGGTCTGCTTTTTCATTTCCACGAATAACCACATGACTAGGTATCCAGGCAAATACAACTTCATATCCTTTAATGAAGCATTGATGAAGGAGCTCTCTGATGTTAAAAATTATTGGAGATTATTTACGACATTTAAATGGAAAGCGAGACAGGGCCTGTAATGAACTCCTTACAGGCCTTGTCACAACTCACAACAATCTTTAATCGACACCTCCAATGAACACTACGCCATCTT